TTTACACAAAATTATATTTTTTTTTTATACATAAATAATCTGTAGATTCTCGTTTTGTGCGGTTTTCAATTCCTCGATTAGTCCGGTTTCAAACAGTGCGAAATGGATGAGATTTTTAGTTACAAAACGAACTAAATTTTCATTGAAAAAAAATGAAAATAAATTCTCAAAAATGTTTACACAAAATTATATTTTTCTATACATAAATAATCTGTCGATTCTCGTTTTGTGCTGTTTTAAATTCCTCAATTAATCCGGTTTCAAACAATGCGAAACAGATGAGGTTTTCAATTACAAAACAAACTAAATTTTCATTGAGAAAAATGAAAATAACTTCTTAAAAATGTTTACACAAAATTATATTTTTTTTTTTTGATACATAATTAATCTGTCAATTCTCGTTTTGTGCGGTTTTAAATTCCTCGATTAGTCCGGTTTCAAATAGTGGGAAAACGATTAGATTTTTATTTACAAAAGAAACAAAATTTTCATTGAGAAAAATGAAAATAAATTCTCGAAATTATATTTTTTTTGGATACATAAATAGTCTGTCGATTCTCGTGTTGTTCGATTTTAAATTCCTCGATTAGTCCGGTTTCAAATAAATGAGATTTTTATTTACAAAACAAACTAAATTTTCATCGAGAAAAATGAAAATATTTACACAAAATTATATTTTTTTGGATACATAAACAATCTGTTGATTCTCGTTTTGTGCAGGTTTCAATTCCTCGATTAGTCCGAATTTTTTCTAAATATTTCAACTGCAATTTTCTTACCTTGAAATTTCTACCTGTTGATTCGCAAACAATTAATAAACAAAATATCTTACCTTCTCGTCGTCTCCACGAAACTATGTTCTACTAGGATATTATATTAAGGTTGTTTCAAAAGAAATACACTAATTCGTTCACATAGTTTTTTGTTCAAGTCGATTCATCTTCATTATTATTTTTCGTTTTTCATTCACATATTTTTTTATTTAATTATTATTCATCAGAAATCAGAACTATATAGTTTATAGTAGCCACTAAAAGCATCTACCATATACATAAATATATATATCGAGAAAGTCCACTAAAAAAGCACACAAAAAAAAACAGTAATTATCAAATAAAAAAAAAATATATTAAAAATTATATAATCATATAATAATATTAATTATAATGTAATGTATTGTGTTGTGTATCACTTAATGATAATAAGTCTTCGAGGAACAAAACTTAAAGTAAAAAAATGTAATCAGAAAATATAAATTTAAGTTTCATCATTCGTTCGTTTGCGTTTCACAATTAGAAAAAATCACACTAGATTTGATTGTTATACAGGTAAACATCTCTTTTGAGCCGAGAACGAAGAGATGAAAAAGGGACAAAGGACAAAAACAGAAACATCAGCTCATTCAAACTTAATTATTCGCATTCTCTCTTCGTCTTTCTCTCACATTACATAACGCCTTACAATATATAATTTTCTTTATTTATTTATATATTTTGTTTTTTTTTTATATTATAATATATATATATATAGTATTTATGTATATAAATATTGCTAGAAATTGTGTTGTTTCATTATTATTCATTCTCTGTACGAAAATGAGAAAGGAAAATTTAAAAAAAAAAACGTTTTTCGTCTCTCTACGTAAATATTGCACTTGTGACTGGATCATTATTATTAATAACAACAATATTAGATATGTGTGAACTTTCCCCTCCGTCCGGGAAATACAAATAGAAGAAATCAAATCTGCTACGAAAGAAAAACAAAAAGTTGAAATAAAACAAAAATTGGTGGGCGTTCTTGACGATTGCTGTTTTGTTTTATAATCATAATTTTTTTGTCATTATAATAGTTCATATAAATTAGGTATTAAGAATTAAAAACTAGGGTCAAAACGAAATACAGTATTGCCAAAGTTGTCTTCTTGCAAGGAAGAGAAAAAAATAAGGATTAAATGATGCAATAATAGTAGTAATTAACAAAAATAGAAATAAATAAAACAGAGTAATTATTAGTGCCATAAGCGTATCAACAAAAGACATAATCCACTAATTTAAAAACAAAACAATGAAAGTATATATATAATAAAAAAAAATGAACAATGAACAAATTAAATCTAGTGATCTTACACATGTTTATAGTAATAGTAGTAATTAGAAATTAACAATTAAAATAATCTTATTTAATATTTAAGAGAATTGAGCATTTTTGGCGTGGGATTAATAAATATATTTATTATTTTTATAAAAAGATTTTGTTGCTGTCGATTTTAATTTTTCTTTTTTTGGTATTTGTGATTGCGTTGATTGAAGGGCGTCGGGACGGGATTCTCGTGACCGGAAAAGAAGCGGAATCCCGGGAAAAAAAAACGAATGGATTAAAGCAACGAACAAGTTAAGGAAAACGAACTGATCTGTGATTTTTCTTTAGTTATACGCGTTTCGTGGACGGAACTATATAGAGAACGGAAAGAGCCGGAATCTCGTCCCGAAGCCCGAAAGCGAAATCAAAACCTACTGCGATTCTTTATCATTATCGTCACTACTTTAGCGAAATATATATGTATATATTTATGTAAATATTTCACACAAATAAAAATTGTACACTTTTCCTCCTCACTTCGTCAATAATCTCGTATCATCTCTTCATTTGTTTCTTTTTAAAAGGCACACCTATATATGACATAAAGTTATTATTACTATTCATTCATTATTTATTTACGTTTTCTTTTTGTTGTTTTTTTTTAATTTTTTGTTCTCTGTACAATAATATACTTTGTTGATTAGTTTAATTAAGTCTAGTACGAAAGAAATTGCGACATTTAAAGCGTGTTCAATCTTCAGTTTCTCAAAACGCACGTAATCATCAACATCATGCACACACACACGACAGGGTCCTTCTTTTCTCTTGTTTTATTTTAACGTATCATTGCGCAGTTTACTTGATGCAGACACTCTCTTTATTCATTTTTTTTTCTTTCTCTTCTTGTATATAAACATCTAAAAGGGTTTGTTTCTATTTATTTCTTTTTATTCACTCAATCTTCTTTGGAAGACTCCGTATTGCCAAGCGGTTCACGATAATCTCTGCCGTTTCCCAAACAAACAAATTCTTCATTATTGATTCCAAATCCAAATGGAAAACAAACAAACAAACATAAAAACACAACAAAATTTCGGAACCGAATTCGTTAAACGAGACAATCTTAAACTTTATTTTTTTTTCTGTACACACAAAAGAAATATATAGGAATTTTATATAATAGTTTTTTGTTTTTGTAGCGTTTGTATTTTTTTTTAAGAAATTGAAGCAGTACTTAAAATCTAACAAATCATTATCAATTGAAAACAGAAAATAATAATAATAATAACTATATAATAATAATAATAATAAT